TGCATGTATATGTTAGCGTATCTGTATATGTATGCATATATACATGTATATATATATATATATATACATATATATATATATATATTTATATGCGCATGCATGCATAATTCTTGAATAACAGAGAAGTGTTGTATGCCTCCTATTTTTTATCGATATGAATTTTGTCTTTGTGAATTTTGCGTTTATATATTTTTTTGTATTTTGTTTGCAGGACCCTCGCATTTGCCCGCTGTGTTATTTTCCTCGAGAAGGCGCTGCATGCGCTCCCAGTGGTTTTGTATTTTGTTATCGCTGTATTGTTAGCTTTGTAAGGAAGCATCGTTGCTGCCCTATTACAGGAATGAAGACAGAAGAAAAGCATATAAGGAGGCTCTATGAAGCAAGAGGATAGATCATGCATACAGCTCAACATACACTCCAAACATATACACCACAAACTCAAGATACACCCCACACGTAAATATACGCAAAGACATATTAATATGTTCTCGTAGCATGAGGCTGTTGTTGGGGTGCTGCTGTATATACACCAACAAGAGGAAGAGATAAACAGACATATACAAAAAAATAATTCACACTTTGCTCTTCTAACTCCGTTTAAAGGCAGCTTCATCTACACTCGCATGCGCGTAGAAATTCAACAGAAAGAACCCAAAACACCAAATAGTGTATTATTATTGCATGCATGCAATGCATGCATGCATGCATTCATGCTACAGACGCTGGATTTGCTTTTGAACTCTGGCAAATGCCGCTGAATTATGGACTTGCACTAACTTCGGAGTGTACGCATAGATTACGGATTGCTGCTGGTTGCTCAGGGTTTGCTATATATGCTCAGCTTCCTTTTACTATTAAGACGGGTTGTAAGAGCTTATTAAAAGAGAAAATATATGAAGAAAATAGGCTAGTATTGTTTGAACAAAATAAAAAACATGATTTAATCATTTAATTAGAATTAATTAATTAATTAATTAATTAATTAACTCCGAGTCCGGGAATTGAACCCGGGTCTTCCGCGTGACAGGCGGAAATACTAGCCACTATACTAACTCGGACAGTTGCAAATGGTTTGGCTGTTAGCCACAAGGCAATACTCTTTTTATTATAAGCACATTTAGTTTTATTATACGGCTAAGAGAGGTCTTTATGAGTTTAAAATGTATATTCTGAGGTTGTATGTGGAGGGCCCGAGCAGCATCCATCGGTGAGGTGCGGTTAGCTAGACAAGCTGCTGGGTATACAGTAGAAGTTTTCTATGGATGCCTCAGCTTCTTGCTGTTGTTTATGCATTAAACTGTCGGGTTATAAGCCGTCTGCATGCAGTAGCTAGGCTATATAGAGCCAGCCTTCTTGGTTTGATGCCTCAGGTACTGAAATACTCACAAGCACTAACAACTCAAACTTGCGGCCACGACCCACTCTAAAAATAAAACTAAGCCCTCCTTTAGACACTGCACTGGAGAACATAGTTCACCAGAGTTGCCTTTAAATACAAATGAAGCTCAGGAGGACTTCAGCGTGTAAGGGAAGAAAAGATAGGCTTGGCCTATACAATCTTCCCTCTGAGGTGCTGAGGTGTAATCAGACTTCCTTGAGATTCCCGCGGTGTTGTTGATGTTCCTAACGCTGCATGCGCGGACTTTACATTCATTATAATGAATAACGCACATTAATTCTGGCTAATGTTCTCATATAAGCAGCTTATGTTAGACAAATGCTTCCCCAAATGTATAGGAGCCTTACCGAGTGAAGCACAGCACTTCATAAATATTAAGGCTTGCAAGCGAAGAGAAATTAATGCGGGGGGATATATAGGAAGTAATTTGTGAGAAGAGTACGTGGTCGCACCCGATGACCGTCGTAAGTTGCAGTCCAGCCACAAGACTTAAGGCAAGTACTTCTAAAGAACAGCTTACCTCCTCCACCTTCTCTAGAGATTCAGAGACCCTCAGCCCAAGGGCGTAGATTTGTGATGAAGGAGGCAGCCTGCAGAGACTTACATCGAGCCTCGCTGCAGGTAGCGCCGCAGTACAATTCTCTATGCATGCACAATCAGCAATTAATTTCTGCTGCATGCGCGAACCCTGTACACAATGCTCAAGATCTTGCTTGTTCCTTTGTAAGCAGCCTTTACGCCACTTTAAAAAGGTAATGCTACATCTGCTCCCTCTCTCTCCTTCAATCAGCACTTATCGCTTTCGTGTGCCTGACTTCTACTAACGTAGAAAGAGAAGAAAGTAAGCGGTATTCTACCCCTGCATCTGCAGGCCCTCTGCTCGTGCGGAGAGGCCCCCACAGTGGGGTAGCCACTAAGAAGATATTGTGCTCTGTGTCTTGCACATGAATTAGGAGAGGCGTTTAGATGCTGGTGTCGAAGCCAAACAAGACAAGAAGATATGCTCTGAGGTACTACCACCTCGGAGCATCCGTCAGTGCGTCAGCAGAAGTCAAGCGGGCCTTTGGGGCCCTACTGACCCCAGAAAAGCATGCATATAGATTGCAGCAAAGGAGTAAAGATCAACGTACACCCCATATGTAAGTGGGTAAGGAAGCCTCTAACATAGCAGCAGAGTGTCTGCTACAGCCAGCATGTAGAGATACATAACAGTTTTTTGAGTTGAGTCTATGAAAGCACGCCTATGCTTCTGGGGAATAATTATTTTTCATAAGAGATCCTCAGAAGAACCCCCTCAGGTTGTTTGGAGATAATATTATTGTCTTTGTCAGCCTCTGAGCAGCTTTTATACGCGTGTCTTCTTGCTGTTGCTACTTCTTTCTACAGTGTTGCTGCTGTCTTGTGAGGGGTCCCCTCTTCCTCTCCCTCTCCTCTTTAACTCTTTAGCTTTGTCTCCAACTCCTACAGCAAATCCTTGAGTAGAGACAGCTGCTATATGTTAGACCTCTAGTTAATAGAAGAGTCCTGGGGTTGGGGAGACACCGTGTAGTTTGGGTCTCCTATGCATAAAGGAGTAGACATTAGCTGTAAAACAATAGGGGTAAAGGTATTAAACAAGTTAAGAAACAAACAAATACATAAAAAGCTGCTTTCCTTACGCCCCCCAACTATGTAGTATATCGCAGGTCTCGATTGGGGGGTGAGAGGGAGCTGTCTGCTGCAGTAGAAGCTGCACGGTTGAATGATTAATTATTTATTTATTAAAAATATTATTAATATAATATTATTATTGTTATTAAACAAAATAAATATATTTACTCTCATACAAAGAAGATCTTTGTCAGAGTGCTGAGGGCCTGAGCAGGAGCACCACCCATCGACATTGTGCGGCGCTGTTTATCTTTTATTCTTCTGCTGCTGCTGCTGCTGCAGCAACAGCTGCAGCAGCAACAACAGCAATTTATTGTTTTAAAAACAATTAAATTATTTTCTTTTTTGAGTTTAAAAAGAACTCTCTCTAATCGCTTCTCTACCTGCTGTGGCCCATGACCAATGGCCCTCAGCTCCTCTTCTGCTGCTCTCATCATACGCACGAAGACAGAGAGGGTTTAAATGTGTTATTGAAGAAGAATAATTTATTCTTCTTGGAAAAGGGCAGTGAAGCAGCTTTCTTTTGGTGTATTACAAGCAGCAACAACAGCAGTGCTCGTTCCCAGCAGCAGCAGCAGCAGCAGCAGCAGCAGCGCCGGCAGCAGCAGAGAGAGCAACAGCAACAGCAGAAGACGCAGCAGCAGCTGCCGCAGCATCGCAGACATCTCTGTCTTTGAGACTCTTATCTTCTGCTGCTTTGAGGGGTTTAGGTCGATGCCCAGGAGGTGGGGCCACCGGCGCAGCAGCAGACAGAGCAGACGAGGCAGCAGCAGCCGTCGGAGCAGCAACAGCAGCAACAGCAGCAACAGCAGCAACAGCAACAGTTACAGCAGCAGCATAAACACAGGAATGGAGAATATGCCCACAGCAGGCTCAACCGCCAGTGATGAGGTGGAGGGCAGCGACGGCAGCAGCAGCAGCAACAGCAGCTGCAGCAGCAGCATGAGCAGCAACAGCTCAAGCCTGAACAGGACCAGCAACAGCATGAACAGCAGCAGTGAAGGCAAGAGCAGCAGCAACACCAGCAGCATGGAGGCAGAGTCTGGGGATACGGGCCTAATGGCTGGGGTGGGGGGTGCTGCTTCTTTGCCTGCAGACCTCTGCAGCACAGCCAGCAGCAGCAATATGCTAGCAGCAGCAGGGTCCCCCTTGGAGCAGCAGCAGCAGCAGCTGTTTCTACTGCACCAGCCACCACTTCAGCTGGTACACCCTCCAGAGCAACTGCTCCAGCAGCAACAGCTACAGCCTGTACAACAGCAGCAGCAGCAGCAGGAGACGCTGCAGGAACTGCTACTGCGTCAGCAGCAGCAGCTGCAGCTGCAGCTGCAGCAGCAGCAGATACAGCTTCAGCAGCAGCTGCAGCAGCAACAGCTGCTGCTGCAGCAGCAGCTGCAGCAACAGCTGCAGCGGGAGCAGCAACCCAAGAGCCTTACGGGCGCCCCCCCCAACACGGGAGTGAATATTATTAGCAGAGTCCTTTGCCCTGGTGTTCCTCTGGCTGGCCCATCAGGGCCTCTCTGTCAGTGCAGCAGCAGCAGCAGCAGCAGCAGCAGCAGCAGAGGGGGGCTTTGGCACTGCAGCAGCGCGCGGCATCTGAGCCCCTCGCCACCAGAGACAAGGGGCCTCATAGTTGAAGGACTTAGAGAGCAGTTAGAGAGGACGTCTACTGATACAGATATAGACAGGGTGTACGAAGGTGTTGCTGCTGCACCTGCTTCTGCTGCAGCCGCAGCAGCTGCAGCACCTGCTGCTGCTGCTGCCCCTGGTGCTGCTGCAGGTGAAAGTGCAGCAGGAGGCGTTTCCGGTGCTTCTGGCTTGGGGGATGCTGGCATTGCTGCTGCGTCTGTTGCTGCTGAGGTTGCTGCTGCAGTTGGAGGTGCTCCTGCTGCTGCTGGGTGTGCTTCCGCTGCTGCTGCAGGTAGCAGCAGCGGAGCAGCAGGAACAGCAGCAGCAGTAGAGGGGCGTCGGTGTTCAGGCTTGGTGGTTAGGAGTGTGAGTATGCATGAGGAGACAGAGACGGAGACAGGTAGAGAGACAGAGACAGCAGCAAAAGGAGCTGCTGCTGCTGCTGCTGCTGCTGCTCTTCCTTTTAGCAGACAAAGAACATATATAACAAACCCAGGAGTTATATCGAGGAGGTCTTTTGAAAGACTTGTAACAAAACAATTTGTATATAAACAGCTGTCTCCTTCTTCATTAAAACTCGCAGTTGCATTCAATGGCTATCTCCTAGAGGATGCCACGGGGGAGTTGGGGCTAGACAGACTCCCTTTCTTCCACGGTAAACCCTAAACCCTAAACCCTAAACCCTAAACCCTAAACCCTAAACCCTAAACCCTAAACCCTAATCCCTAGACATGTTGGGGTGGCGGGCTAGATAGACTCCCTTTCTTCCATGGTAAACCCTAAACCCTAAACCCTAAACCCTAGACATGTTGGGGTGGTGGGCTAGATAGACTCTCTTTCTTTCATGTTACACCCCAAACCCTAAACCCTAAACCCTAAACCCTAAATCGTAAACCCTAAACCCTAGACGTGTTGTGGTGGTGGGGCTCTAGGGGCTATGGGTTGTCTTTGCTGGAGTCTACGCTCATGCTGCTGCTTTTGCTGCTTCTGCATTTGCTGCTGCTGCTGCTGCATAATGAATTGCTGCTGCAGCTGATTGATTCTTATTTGCTTCAGGACTAGTGCATGTGTCTCCTCCGTGTGATAATAATGGTTTGCTGTTGCTGAATAAAGATTATATGCTGCTGCTGCTGCTGCTGCTGCTTGATGTTCATTTGCTGCAGGTTCTGTGCATGTGTCTCCTTTGTGTGATAAAATGATGATTTGCTGCTGTTGCTGAATGATGATATGCTGATGATGATGATTATTATTATTATTACTGCTGCTGCCGCTGCTGCTGCTGCTGCTGTTGCTGCTGTTGCTTGATGTTTATTTGCTGCAGGTTCAGTGAATGTGTCTCCTTTAGGCAGAGGTCGTTGGGTGCAGCGCCCCCGCTGGGCTCGTCGTTTTTTGCTGCTGCATCGCTGCCATCTGTTCTGGTTTGAGTGTATGAATTCTTATTTATCTTTAGGATTAGACGGCTGCTTAGGCTCTCTGTCTCTTCTTATTAACCCTATTCAGATAGAGTTAGACCCAAAAAGAAGCACAAGGTTTGTATTAGCTGTAGGGGAGTGGCTGTATATGATTGTAGATACAAGTATAGAAAGAAGAGACAGAGGGGCTTGGGTCTTACATCTTCTCGCTCATCAAAATAAAGTAAGACTTCTTCTGTCTCCTTTCCTACTACACGTATCCTTATAGCCGTTATTTATTTGTTTGTTTGTTTGTTTATTTATTTGTTTGTTTATTTGTTTGTCGGTTTGTCTATTTGTTTGTTTGTCTACTGTTTGTTTGTTTGGCTGTCTGTTTGTTTATTTATTTACTTGTTTGCTCATTTGCTTGTTTGCTTATTTGTTTATTTGTTTATTTGTTTGTTTGTTTGTTTATTTGTTTGTTTATTTGTTTGTTTATTTCGTCCTAGCGCCTTTGTCTTTGCTTGTATCGGGGAATGAACAAGAAAAGGAGACAGGGATATCTTTGTTTGTATCTGTCTGTCTCTCTTTATTCATCGCTTGTCTTTGTCTGTCCCTATACATTTTCTTTCTCAGTCCCTGTCCATATAAACTTCTTCATCTGTCTCTCTTTACCTACCTTCTGTCTCTGTGTGTCTCTTTGTCTATCTTCTGTCTCTGTCTGTCTCTGTATATCTTCTTTGTCTGTCTGTCTCTCTCTCTCTCTCTCTCTCTCTCTCTATATATATATATATATATATCTTCAGCCTCTGTCTGTCTCTTTATCTTTTCTTAGGTATATATATATATATATATATAGCTTCTTTATTTGTCTCTATATTCATCTTCTGTCTCTGTCTGTCTCTGTACATACCTTTTGTCTCTGTTTATCTCATTTCACTGTCTCTTAGTCGTTTATTTCTTTGTTTTGTTTATTTTTTATTGCTGTCTCCTCTTCCGTACAGTGGGAGCCCCTTAAGTGCATGAAAGCAAAAGAGACGTGGATAGATAGACGCATAAACACAAAAAAAACAAATAAACAACAAACAAATAAAACAAATACTTTTGTTTTCTTTTATATGTCTTCGTGCAGGGAGAATTAATAAGAAAGTGTTTTCCTCAAGTCGATTGGGAGGTCCTTCAAAGCCGCTCGCGTCTTGTGGCTTCTCAAGTTGGTGACCCCACCTACTTAGCGTTTAGGGTTTAGGGTTTATGCATACGGTTTAGGCTGGGTCTCTGTATGTACACCTGCTGAGGTGTACGTACACCGCAGCGCTACCCTAATAAATATATATAAACCTTAGACAAACCCACTTCAGGGTGTCTCTGTGGATAAACCCTCGTTCAGAGGTCGACAGCAACGCCCCCTTCAAAACCCTAAACCCTAAACCCTAAACCCTAAAGCCTAGATCTGAAGCTCCCGCTGCAGAGCTGCAGAGCCTGCACAGCCTGCGGGGATGATAATGGTAGTGCGACTGCTGCGCACGAAGCTGGCAGCAGCAACAGCAGCAGCAAAAGACGCAGCAGCAGGAACAGCTGTTGCTGCTGTTGAAGCTGCTGCTGCTGTTGCTCTGTGAATTGCCCCGCAGCAGCTCTTGCCTTCATGCAGCTGCTTAATTATATCTGTTTCATTTCTCTTACCCCTCTCTAGTTGGCACAGCAACAACACAGAAAGCGACAGGAGAGCTCCCTATACACCCGAGGGAGACAGCAGCGAACACGAGATATAGCAAAACAGCAAGGAGGGCGTGAGGCAGCAGATCTATTTGTTTAAACACGCGTCAGAGGAGACATATACATATATATATATATATATACATATACATACATGTAGGACAGAAATATATCTATTTGCTAGAGGCTAACAAACAACAGAAGATAAACACGAACGATAGAAGAGGCAACAAATTTTCTGTCGCTGTTTCCTCTCATGCCGTTCATTAAGCAGTTAAACGCAAAACGCTGGGATATACACGTCTGTGGTTTAGGGTTTAGGGTTTAGGGTTTGCGTATGCATACGAAGGGCTGTGGCTGAGCTGTGCCGCCCGCTGCCCGCTCACTGCAGACAGAAGATTAAGTAAAACCCTTTCTTTGGGGCTGCATGCAACTAAACACAACAAAAGCTGTACAACTTGAGCTGAGGTGTATGTACACCTCAGCTGTCTGTACACCCTGTACACCGGAGGGCAGCCAAACGCAAAAAGGCTAAGAAAATGCTGCTATTAAAGAAAAATATTTCTACAAATGTTTACGTAGACCACGAACCCTCAAAACTAACAGCTTCGGCAGCTGCAGGGGCCCCTTCAACGTGGGGCTGCATGCATGCGAGGGTTTAGGGTTTAGGGTTTAGGGCTTAGGGTTTCGATGGTAGTGAACAAATCTTCTCCTTCCTTTATTAAATAGTTTTATGCACTTTTTAACTCTCAAACCGCAAGCTACAACCCCGTGGAGGGGGGGCTGAAGCGGTACTCCAGACCCTAAACCCTAAACCCTAAACACTAAACCCTAAACCCTACTTTTTCGCCTTGTTATCTGCTGTTCGTATCTTAGGGTTTAATCTGCTGGGGGTGTGCACCGTCCTCCGGCGGCTGCAGAGCGTCGTTTTCGCTCTG